CCCTCTCCCTTTGCTCCCCCCGCCGTGTGCTCTCTCTCAAATAAATAAGTACAATCTTAAAAAAAATAAAGTAGGAATTCCCTAATCCATACATTGGTAATGGTGGGAAAATCTTGATACTTTACTGAACTACTCACCAACATCATTCCCACCCACACCCAATTTGCTAGAATTCCCATTCACCAAGGATGCACCCCCACAGCCCCCTTACTTGTAAACCAGAAATTTCTGCCTTCAAGCGACCCAGATCTCCAGCTCCCAGGTGAGACCAGAGGGCTTTGGGGCAAGGCTGATTGTTTCTCCACACACAAAATCTGTCTACTTTGTACACAGCTCCACCTTCAAGAATGAGCCCGGATTATCAGGCAGCAGCAGGCCACCCTGCCCCAACCGGGTCATTTTGCTGAGGGCACCAGAGAGACGATGGATGGGGTGAGAAATGGTCTCTCTCCTCCTCCTGGATCCCCTTGCTTACTACTCCTTGGTGGCTTCAGTCTCTGCGCAGGCCGCCCGGTTGCCTAGCAACCACAGCCGCCTGCAGGGGCGCGGGGCTGCTTTGGACCTGTAGGGGGCGCCTGTCTCCCTGGGGCCTCAGGCTCTAGCAGTTGCGAGGGTGTGCCAAGCGTCAAAGCGTCTCAGGGTTGACCGCGTCCTCCCAGCCTCGCCAACCCAGTCCAGTCTGAGTCTCTCTGGAGTGAGTGGGGAGAAGCTCACTATGATTCTAAAGGGATTTTACTCATATTCATTAAAAATGAAAAGATGAAAGAGAGAGAGAGGGAGGGAGGGATGGAGAGAGAAAGCGAGAGGGAGAGAGAGCGAGCGAGTGAGAACCAGTCAGTAGGGATGGGCCATGGGGAAGGCATGTTTGACCCTCTCCATTCTCTCTAGGTTTCGCAATGCTTATTCCAAAATCAGAGCGTTGCAGAGGGCCCAGGCTACAGGGGGCTTTTTTCCTGAGCCACTTTTAGGATGTGGCGAAGAGTCTAGCACTCTTTTTGTCAATATTGTCAAACTGCTGAGCATATAAAAGACTTCAAGCTCCAGGGTTACCAGCCTAGCCTAGACTTGGTAACTAACCAAATA